TAAGCTCAATTCCTGATGTTCAATACATAAAGGAAACAGTAACCACTTCCTCATAACCATCTTAGCTGCCAGTAAACATGTTTTGGCTTCCTCATCATTTTCCTTCATAGTGGGATTACTTTGCACGTTTGAGAGCCCGCAGTGAAAATTGTGATACTCAGGAAAAGCTGCACAGAGTAAGACCACTTTATTCATCATCCTGAGCTACAGCTTCAAATCCTTTTCTACAAATCCTCAGATTTGCATTGCAGCTGAGAAGCAAGGAATATTTTTAGTGAAATAGTCAACCCTTCGCCTTCCCTTCACAGAAGGAGCACACTTCTGCTAGCATTTGCTGTCAGCTAGCTTTGTTGCAAGCATACTGGAACTCTAGATACAGAAAGCAGCATCTCTCAAGTAGGTACAGTGTACATTTCAGACCACCTGAGAAGTGATACTAGTTACGCAGAATTAATGTTCGAGAATACTTCCAGAAAACCCTGTGGGATCTCTTTAACACTATAAAATGTAAAAACACTACCTGTATGCTCATAGGCATTATTCAAATATTTATTTCCCATGACTCTCAAAGCTGAAAAAATTCTGAAAGCTCATACTGCAAGGCAAACACCCCCTCAAGCAGCTTCATATTTACCTCCTCTAGAGCTGACATGCAGTACCAACAGGCACTCCTTTGAAATATTCCATGCTAAAGTATTTTCATCAACTGTTGATGCAGGAAATTATTTCAGCAGAGCATATATAGTCAAATAAGCAAAGAATAACTTGATCCCCTCCTGAATCATTTCCTTCATATGCACAAAGCCTTCCCTGCTACTAAGGGGAGTCCCACTGCAGTCAATTAGAACAGAGCTGTGCGTGGACAGCAAAGACAGCCAGTTATGAATCAGCTAGCAATCATCTTTTTGTTCCCTGAACAGAAAAAATAGAACGGAATGGAGACTGTCAGAAGTTGGAAAAGCAATGAGATCATTCTTGTTGATAGAATAGGTTGAAGATTCCTGAAATCTTCCCTGAAAAATCACATTCTGATGATCAGCAGGTAAAAAAATTTCCATCAATTTACTCCCTGTTTCAAGAGAAACAGCAACCTGTTCCTCTGAAATTTGTAACACCTGAAAACACCTGGAGTTTTTCAGTAGATGAATACAAGATGGTGAAGTTCCAATGAAGAGACAGCTTAAACAGCAGAACCACAGCCTTCCCTGAGTTTCAGAATTAGATTTACATGTTTGTCTTTTAATGGAAAAAAGCTGTGCTAAGTCATTAGCATCATAGTTAAAAATATAATTCCCCCACTCCAAAGCTGTCACTATTGCTAACTGCTGTTAATAGAGCTAACAAAAATGCATTAATTCTGAAGATATACTTGGTCTGAACTGAAGCCTTGATAAATTTTGGAAGGCCATGGGTAGCTGAACTCCTCTCCACAGAGAAGTTGTGCATTTTGCAAATGATTATTTAGAAAAGCAGCAACTCGTGGCTAACATTACAGAGTAATTTCATGTATGATATTCCTACCTGTACTTAAAACAGAATATTCCCTGGACATAATTTCACAGCAAAACCTACATTATGCTCTTCTAACAGTCAGGATGTATTTAACAGGACAACTTGCAATCAGGAACAATCTGCCTGTCACACAGAAAAAACAAGGAGTGTTATCTTTCGTGCCCAAGGTTTTCAAACAAGCACATATCACCAAGCACTGAGCATTAAAATGCACAGTTTCATATATGACCTCTTTAAAGTCAAGAATCTTAGCATCATACCTAATACTATCAGTCTAATCCAAGCTCTATTAGAAGTACACTGTTTACCTTGAATGGTGCTTAGCATTTTTGGAAAAGCTTGCCAAGTACCTTCAGCTATCACTGAAACCCCCAGGAGCTGTAAGCACTCATTTTCCACCTGACAAGCAACAACCACGATCAAACACCTTCTGAAATAATGTTTGTCACTGCTGCTACTCACTCACATCCCATCCCTGGTGGTCTAGCCCTCCTGCACTAAGAGATTCCTCCTAGGCAGCACCTTGACTCCATAAAATAACAGATTGGCCTTTTTTTTTTTTGCAGTTTCTTAAATTACATTAATTTTCTGTTCCTCAAGGAGGGAAAAAACTCTTCCATTCTTTTGTGCATCTGTGCTTTTGCTCTAATGTACATATTACAAAGCCTTCTTAGCATCACTATTACCTCTGACAAGAAATCTGGCATTGTCTTTAATACAATGGCTTAATAGGCTTTTGGTTATAGACAAATTCTTGTTCTAGGCCAGAAAAAAAATACTGAGTACCATTTTGCCTGAAAACATCTTCTATTACTCTCCCATTTTCCCTCCTTGCGACTACAGTTAGACTTGAACATGCATTAAGACTTCAAAACAAAGTAAACCCAGCAAAACATCCAGCTACAGACAGCAAGCTCAGACAAAAAGAAAGCTTTGCTGGCTTTTTTCTTGCTTACTTTTTTTATATACATGAAATCTCCTGGAAAAGATTTTATGGTTTTCATAAGGCTTCTTTAATGACCCTCCTGCATGAGGAAAGTACAGCTAAAAGCTCTAGTTCTCTCAGTTAATTCATATTCTCTTATTCGGCATAAGCACGAAGAGTTTTAAAATCCAGATGATACTTTTTCTGTGGACCATAATCAGCTGCCTAAAGATTTCCTAAGCTGTTCACATCCATCTTTCATCAAAGTTCATTTGCAAGAGATGTGCCTTGTCTCTTAAAAGGTAGAAATACTGAAGAGACCACTATTTCAGCTATTACATTTGCAGAAGCAGCTTGAATATTCAATAACAAGGCCACTCATGCAGCCATTCTCCTGGCCTGGAGGTACCTGACTCCACAGCCTAACAACTCAGATGGGTTCTACAGACAGACATCATTTCACAGTGGTGCCGTGCACAAACATCTAAGCACTAACAGTCCCAAAGCTGTTTTAGGTCTCTACCTTAAGGAGGAAAATGCATCAAAATCCACCATTACAGCACAGGTCTTCACAGCAGAGGCTAGAAGGAAAGTTTGACCAATGCTGCCTGCCCTCTACTGCTGAGAGGCTCCCTCTGGTACACGGAGTTGTACACAAGACAGAAGATGAGAACTACCTGAATTTAAATTAATCAGATCAAGAGAACTCCAAGGTGACTTAAATCACTGACCATCTTTCCATAACTAAGCTCTGAAAAGGCCAGGGCACTGGTCACATTTAGACACCGCTTTACTCGGTCTTCCATCACATGACAGAAGATGTTTCTGTTCTTAGTGTTCTTGCTCAAAAGGCATTAGAAATGTTTTTGTGTTTTTACAGAACTGAAATGCTTTGTGTGGGCCCAGGAGAGCTCCACTGACTGCCACAAGGTACTTCAGGAGTTTCTGAAAATAACAAACACTTATTTCTGCATGTTACACAGACTTTCATCATCTTACAGGGCAGTCACTGTACCTTCATCATCTTTCTCATTAGAGCCCCTTTCTTCTCTTCATTCCTGTCTTCCCTTACACTATTTGCACTTCTTTATTCTTGTTCTCTGTGTATCAAAACTATTCTGTTGAAGAGCAAACGTCAGAGTGAAGGTTTTTGGGCACTGAATGTGCTTTTTGATGCTCAAAGTGCAGCACAAAGAATTAAAAGAACTGAGTGATACAGTGGAGATTAGAGAGAGCAGAGAATGCTAAAGATACACAAAGTGCAGGAAAGCCAAAAATCACTTCAAACATTAATATCTTTCTTTGTGCCATATTCTACAAAAAGTGTTCTGTATCTTAAGCTTGAATCTTTCATTCTATCTCAAGCAGTTCTCTGATAAGATGAACATCCAAACTTGTTAAAAATTAATGTTGTTATATAGATGTGGATAAAAATATATGTTTCAGGAAGATTATGCTCTGTGAAGACTTCTGTTCAACCAACAGAAAAACACAGCCATGAAAGATTTAGCACATAGGAATATTAAAGAAAAAAAGAGACAGATCTTGGAAGTGTGATGAAACTACACAAAGATCTTTACCTCTTTCCCTCGCACACTTTCAAATATAAGACAGTCTTACATACTACAGCCACTAGTGGATGCTATGACACAGGGAGGGATACACAGTAAGATGCCTCCTTAAGGGAAGCAAGGCTGAAGACAAGTTTTCATTGCGTTTTTTGTTATTGCTTGGACATTACACATGGAAAATCATAGCTGCCTTGAAACTTCTAGTTTTAGAAACTAAGGAAAGAAGTAATCTGTTGTTTGTTTTGGTTTTAAAGACATACGACAAAGAATATGAATGATGGCTAACAAAAAGCACAGGTCTGCTGGAAACGTTTAGGAAAAAAAAGCTGTGTGATGAGAGCAACTGAGTGTATCTATAGTAGATATCAGGAAACAGCGACTTAAAGTCAAACAGACAATAGATCAGGGCCAAAACACAAAATTGAGCTGTACAGCTGGCACTCCAACACAAGGGACATGACTGAAACAAATACAGAAGTACTGTGGCTACATCAGGAAGACCTACATGCATCATTAGGAATCCAAAGCAGCTAAGTAGTAACTTCCAAAGAATCAGACTTAAGAGCAGGGAGAAGGAAAGAATCATCCAGAGGTTAAGCTACCAGATAACTTCTTTCATGGCAGATGGTACTAAATTTGCTCTGGCCAGAGTCACTAAATCAAAACTTGCAACTTCTCCAAGTTCAGTACTTGATACACCGGATCAGAGCAAATGACAAATTTACAAGAGGGGATCAGAGGTGAAGGAAAGGGGAACATTACAACTGAAATTCTAACATATTTCCAAGCCAACATCACAGGAGCCATAAAATAAATAGGAGAGCACCACATTTTTCTTCAGCCTGGTTTATATAGCATGGTATTATTCTCCCAAATAAGTGTTTTAAAGAGGAATGAAGATATACATTGCAGGCAAACACTGTTCCACATTTCCCATAAGTTTTTAAAAAAGGAGTAATTAGAAATAATGATACAGAGATTACTTAGCTCACCACCAGGCCAACTAGCAAAGCACAGCCCTCCGCTGACTGCAAGCAAGGCTTGTCAGTAACCCCACACGATCTTCATCATATATGCAACCTTGCCACTACAAAGAGTTGCTTCCAGACCTCCTTTGCTTAGATATAAAGAGAGACAGCTGTTCTCACTAGGCAAATATCAAGGTGGCAGTTTCCTTAGCAACAATAGCTGAAGAACTTTTCCCCTTTTTAATCATGCAAATTCTCAGCAATTCAGGGCAGCTGCAGGAGAACAGATACAGTCTGAGCTGCATCAGTAGAAGAACAATTCCATAGTAAGAGCTCCCATACCTCTGGTCAATGGCTTTCCTAAATGTAGAGGACAGTAAGGGTGTGGGCTAGTTTGAACTCCTAAACACACCTAGAGAGTTGTTTGGCCTTTTGTTTGCCTTATCCCTAAAGCTAAATAATCTGCTTTGACAGTTAAGTTTTCTATTGTTTAAGCAGGGCAAACCCAAAATGCAGGTGTGTTTTATTAGAAAGAAAAACACAGAGGTATAAAATATCTGTCCTATACCCAGAACTTACACAGTTCAAGATAAATACGTAAGCCTTGAAATTGTAAGTTCTAATTAGAACTAGTTAAGACTCTTCCATTACATCAACATAACCTTCATCTCTACTTCTCCAATATCATGTGATTACGTACTTCATTAAGGCAATTACAGCATATTTATGAACAGTCTCCATTCTCTCCAACCATGGCTGCTGAAGGGAGAGTGGGGGTAATATTTCTAAATCTTCCAATCCTCCTCTTTCTGTATTTTAAAATATTTTAATTAAATCCCTGGGCACAAGCAAATATGATTTAGAAGGCAATTTAGGTCTTTAGGCCTACACAGATGTCACTTGAAATCATCTCTGAAGAATGATTTCAGGAACAACGAAAACACCATTAACTAGAATAAATTGGAGGTGCATGAGTAGAATCCACTATTATTTTGACAGCATTCAAGATAAAACGCAGCTACAAGGAATGCCTGCCCATTAACACTGAGTTGATCAGCATTCAGAAAGAGAGTTTATTGGAATATCTGTCAAATCTGTTGAACTTTGGTCAATGAAAAAAAACTCAATATATTGAAGAATTTTTAAGATGCAGATAAAAACATGAGTTTCCATAAAGCACTGAACATGTATGAAATGAAACCAATTCACAGGGTTAAATACACCTACTGAGACTTTTTCACACGTGGCTGTGCACTGCTGGATTATTTGCAAGATTTGCTAGTACTTTCAAGAATGAATGATGCAGCCATGAGGATTTTGAAGTTATGATAGAATGCAATACAAAAATGCTAAAATTAAACCACCATCATATTTCTTTGCTGACTGAAACCCAATTTAACAACACAACAAGGACAGACATCTGAGCAACATAACAAGGGCACTCTTGAACAAACCCAGACCCACTATGGACTCACAGAGCAGCTTGCTCCATATCAGGGCAGCTTCTGACAACACAAGAAGTGTGTTCTCAGCATCCCATCCCAGTGCACAACCTAGCTGAATGCCCCTTAGAGAATTGCTCCAGGCTCAGCTCTACTGGCAGCCCTTCAGCTCACCAGGGGATTCACATTGAAACCACCTTTTTAGAGTAAGGCTGACCTATCTTCTCCAGACAGTACTCCTACTTCACAACAGCACCCATGCTCAGACATCACAGGCCATCAGAAAACAAGGCAAAAGCTCTCATGGACAAAACTAGCAAAGTACCATAGTTCACTTTCTTAAACCAAGTGGAGCAAGGTACTGAGCAAGTGGTTGCTAGATACAAACAAGTCCCTGTAGCACTTAGAGCTGCAACAGCTCCCCTTGCTCCACCAAACAGCGTTACAGTGCTCTTCATGTAAGAGCTATAGAAATAAATAAGAGGCATTACTTTCAGAGAGACCTACATAAAGTTTTGATTCTTGCCTACGCTGTTTTTTTTCCAGTTATTTTCATCAGGATCATTAATCCAAAGAATAACCCAGGATTCTGCTTCCTGCAGCTATGTTTTCCCTCATTACCTTAAGAAGGAAAACGTTACAGTTTTTAACCCCTGAGGGAATCAGAAATATTAAGCAAACACCTCCAGAATAGGTGAAGGAAAGCAGGCAAGAATACAAAACAGTACATAGCATCCAGTGTAACAGGCTGAAAGCTTCCAAAATTAGAATTCTTAAAAGCAGGTCCCCTAGAGACTCAAAACACCAAAACCCCCAAAAACACGGCCAGTCACCCACCAGAATGCCTCTCCTCAGCACAGAGGCCAACATCCTTCTTTCCATAACGCAATGGAAAGCACAAGAACAGCAGCAGCAGAGCAGCAAGATCTCAGGCTGCAGCAAGCAAGGATTCACTCAAACACAACAACAGTAGGCATAGAAATAAAGGAAAGAAGCCACTTACCTTTGGAAGGCATCAAACACAACAGGATCACAAAAACCAACAAAACAAACGAACAAAAAAAACCAACAAGCCTCACCTCCACTGCCAACCCTTAAATGGATCCCAGCTCCACCCCTTCCATCACTCAGGTACATTGCGTGCACCTGAGCTCCCCTGGGCTGTGCCTTCCCACCAGGTGCTTCATCACTGGTTCAGGCCGTGATTTCGTATTTCCACTGCATTTTCTTTCCTTCTTTTTTCCCTCACTCCCTCTAGAAGCAAAAAATGAGATCAGTCAAGCACTTAAGAAATTAAGCCACAAGTTCCCCAGTTTTTAATAGGGTTGAACTTCTCTGCCATTAACTGGCAGCTGCACTAACATAGTGAGATGGGCTCCTTCCCAGAGCCTTGGCTAATCCTCCCTCATCCTAATCTCAGCCTGCTGTTGCAAATGGGCAATGAACACACCTTTATGCAATGACACTGCTAAGTGCCTTCTTTCATCTTCAGAGGCCAAAGGAAGAAGGAAGGTTCAAGAACCCTGCCTGTCTTGAGTTTCTACATCATTTAAGAAAGTTTTGTCTGCAAGAGAGCAAGCTGTAGAAGAGATTTTTTTTTTTTTTCCCGTATTGAAACTATAATAAAGATAGCTCTTTTTATTTTTATTAATGAAGTCAGGAGCTAGTGCTCAGGCATACTGAGCTGCAGGTGAAAGCTGGGAAGGCAGAAAATAGTTCAGAGGATAGAGCTGCAGGGTATTGAATGAAATTATGATGAGAACTACTTCTTATGCAGCGCTCCTCAGGCAGAGTGGGATTAGTGGGATGGCTGGTTACAGCAGAAAGGGTTTCTTTTATTTTCCTCTGGTGTACACAACCCTTCTTGTCCCCACATTTACTCTCACCCTGGGAGCTCACTGCAGGACTTTCTGCATTGCTCTGAAGAAGCAGTGAGTGAGGGTGGGCTGAACTTCAGCTCTCCCACCCCTAGGTGAGGGCTTTGTCCTCCATCATCGCAGTAGCACTTGGGGAGTGCACATCTCTTCAGGGATTTCTCTCCAAAACCCCATGGGGTAACTTAAAAGGTGTATAGGTACACACAAGTCAGCAGTCTCTCATTCTTGCAGCTCAGGCAAGCATCAAGGTATATCTGGCTAGAGGTCTTCCCATAGAAAACAAATGTCAAATTGCATCTCCTTGGAAGAAGGAAAATAGCAAGGGCTGCCCTGGCAGCAAAAAAAA